AAAGGCAGGGTAGAATTGGTAATTGCAGTGATTTTAATTTTCATAGGGAGGTGTTTCGGACGGCCTTTTGGGCCTTGGCATGAGTTTACATAAACCAAAAAAATGAAGAAAAGAAACACAGGGTTAATGGCATTTAGGCAATTGGCAATCGGTGGCATGAAAGAAAATTGAGATCCTCTGCGCTGCTTCTAGCTTTCGTTCCTGCTGCTGCTGCTGGTGGCCGTCGTGAAGGAGTCGGAGTTTGTCCTTTGGGGTATTGGAGATTCTGTCGCTGCCTTGTGATTAATAATCATCAATCATCAAGAATCAATCGAAAGTATCAGATGGCCATAGCAGGGGCAGGGCAGCTTAATCTGAACGAGTCGCCTTGTTGGGGATCCAGAAGCGTGGATTGTTTCGAAAAACTCGAGCAGATTGGCGAGGGCACCTACGGGTCCGTTCTTGTTGTTTCTTTCCCCCATGATCTTTTTTCAATTTAGGGTTTTCTCTATTCTGTCTTTGGCGTTGCCATTGCTCTTTCATTAAGAACCATTTGTTGCCAATTTAATTTAATTTAGTTACTAGTGAGTATGCTTTGTTGCAGTCAAGTTTACATGGCGAAGGAAATAAAGACCGGTGAAATTGTTGCTTTGAAGAAAATTCGCATGGACAATGAGAGAGAAGGAGTATGGTCTTGCCTAGTATGTCTTTTTTTCTTTTTATTTTTTTTATAAAGAAAGAAAATTAAAATTATGTTCTGCTTCTTTCTTTTCCGCAGTTCCCGATAACTGCAATACGTGAAATTAAAATTCTGAAGAAGCTACACCATGAGAATGTAATTAAGCTCAAAGAGATTGTCACTTCTCCTGGTAATTGCACTCGCTTTCTACTAATGACGCAGCGTTATCTTTGCAATTGTACCTGCTGCTTTTAATATTTTTGTTTGTTTAACACATACTCTTACATTGACTCCTTTCATCTTTCATCTTTCCTCTATATCTTCTGGTTTTATATTTCTTTTTTTCGTAGGTCCAGAGAAGGACGACCAGGGTAGACCAGGCAAGTGTCATTAAATTCTTAATAATACTGTTATCACCTGACGCTTAACTTCCCTACCATATACCTCTTTGCGGGCTTCTTGCATTGCAGATGGTAATAAATATAAAGGTGGAATTTACATGGTTTTTGAATACATGGATCATGATTTGACTGGCCTTGCTGATCGACCTGGGATGAGATTTTCAGTTCCCCAAATTAAGGTTTTCCATATTTTATAGGAAAAAGAAATACTCTCTTCATTCAATCGTCAAAAATTTATTTCCTCTAAGTATGCTACGTTTTCTTCCAGTGCTACATGAGGCAACTTCTTACAGGGCTTCACTATTGTCATGTAAATCAAGTACTTCACCGTGATATCAAAGGTTCTTACCTGCAAGCCATCTACTTCCATGTTTAATATTATAATTTTTTCTCTGACTATGAATCCAAAGTGACTTGTGCTTGCTCTTTGCTGCAGGCTCTAATCTTCTCATAGACAATGAGGGTAACCTCAAGCTTGCAGATTTTGGGCTTGCCCGCTCATTCTCAAATGATCACAATGCAAATCTCACAAATCGTGTTATTACTTTATGGTACAGGTATGTGTTATTACTTTATGGTTTTTGCTGACCACCTAGGAAGTTATTTAAAGAGAAACTTGAGAAATGCATTCAAATTTTTTAACTAGTGCAGCATTTACTTCTTTTTTTTTGTCAATTTCACAGACCTCCAGAGCTCCTTCTTGGAGCAACAAAGTATGGTCCTGCAGTTGATATGTGGTCTGTTGGTTGTATATTTGCTGAGCTCTTGCATGGGAAGCCTATTTTTCCTGGAAAAGATGAGGTGAGTTGCTTTGTGTTGATTAATTGATTGAATTTTTAAAGATAAGACATCATTGAAGGTTGTGATGTCCTATGAGTCAAGTAGCCTTAGAATAGCTTATCCATGTAGTAGGATCATGTTGGTAACTGATCGTTGAGATCTTCTTTGATACCTATTAAAGTTTTCTGGTAATTTGGATTAAGTTCTTACTGCACAATGTCTTTGTCTCTCTCTCTCTCTTTCTCACACACACACACAGACACACACACACACACACACACACACACACACTCTTCTGAGCAAAATCATGTGTGAACGTGTGTAAGCTTACTCATTTGCAATTGAACAGGTATCAATTTCCTATTTCACGGACCTTTATTCTGGTAATTGCTTGCAAGACACCAGTATGATATGCTATACTTGTAATTATTACAGCCAGAACAATTAAATAAGATATTCGAGCTGTGTGGAGCACCAGATGAAGTCAACTGGCCTGGGGTTTCTAAGATTCCTTGGTATACCACCTTCAAGCCAACAAGGCCAATGAAGAGACGTCTCCGAGAAGTTTTTAGGCAGTAAGTTCACATACACTGTCGTATAGTACTTTTTTCCCCGTAGGGGAATTTCTGAGAGTCATAATCAGATAGGCTGGATCTGGGAACCAATCCTGGGCCAGTGGTCTTCCACACCCCCAAGGGCTGTGTGCCTGAACACTTAGCTATAGACATATGGTCTATTTATGCTATAAATGTGATGTTTTAAACTTCAAGATGTGTTTATAGTTAAATTTGTCTACATCTCAAGGCTGACATATCTGTATATATGCAATAGTTTTGACCGTCATGCTTTGGAATTGTTGGAGAGGATGTTGATGCTTGATCCATCTCAGGTACCATGTGATATATTTTTCTTCTTTTTATTCATTTATTTATGTTCTACATGTATAATGGGACTCTTTCTCTGCTTTACTGGATACTTTTCTGTTAAATCATATTTCTATTGACTTAATCTCAGGGTTCATTTGTACTGGAATTGTTTTCTCCTAGGAGTCATTTTAAAACATGCAGCATTTTGGATAAAAAATGGTTGGTTAAATGGATTAAACAAAGAAGTTGCTGTAGGTTTTTATTTTTTAACATCAAACTTCTTGTCTTATCCAGATGCACCATCGAACAGAAAATTAAGCCAATCTATATTCATCAGTTTGCTGAAACATTTTACTGTGTTATTGATTTATTATAGCAATCTGAAAATAGCAGTTTGACTATCCTTTTATAAGAAAAGTTATTTAACCTTGGTAATTGTGATTAAGAGAAGCTTGAGCATTTATCTGATTTAGATGTTTCAAAGTTAGGAACTAGTTCTCATGTGAGAACATTTATATTCTTGCTCGTAGACTTGGACCGGTTTTCCCAGAAGAAAAAATGAATATTTTGATTTTGACTATACTCTAGTCAATAATTCACCATTCTGTTCTCTTTGTTGTTTAAACGTAGAGAATATCCGCCAAGGATGCACTTGATGCTGAGTATTTCTGGACAGACCCATTGCCTTGCGATCCAAAGAGGTTATATTCCGTTGCTTTGATTTCCCTTTCAGGTGATATTAATTTCATGATGTTTGTTACACATGGATATTGGCCACTTTTGCTTTGGTTCAGCTTGCCAAAATATGAATCATCACATGAGTTCCAAACGAAGAAAAAGCGGCAGCAACAGCGACAACATGAAGAAAATGCAAAGCGTCAGAAACTACAGCATCCACAACCTCACACCCGCCTTCCACCTATTCAGCAGTCTGGGCAAGCACATGCACAGATGCGGCCAGGACCTAACCACCCATGCATGTTCTCAACCCCCAGTTGCTGCAGGGCCTAGCCACCATTATGGGAAGCCTCGTGGACCTGCAGGTGGGCCTGGTAGGTACCCCCCAAGTGGAACCGGTGGGGGGTACAATCACCCAAATCGTGGTGGTCAAGGCGGCGGTGGAGGTTATAGCAGTGGGCCAATATCCACACCAAGGACGGGCCCCACCATATGGCTCAAGTAGTATGCCTGGCGCTGGTCCAAGGGTGGTGGGGGTAGTGGTTATGGAGTTGGAGCTCCAAATACTCTCAAGGTGGTCCGTATGGTAGTTCTGGAGCTGGACGTGGCTCTAACATGATGGGTGAAACCGCAATCAACAGTATGGCTGGCAGCAGTGATGTTGTGATTTGGTAATTATGTAATCAGTAGCACGGTATCATGTATTGATGATTAGAAAAGAAGCTTGTTTTGTTGTCCAAGGAAATTGCCGTAAAAAAGACTGATGAGCACTTGTGAATGCTGGCTAGTTTTGTCCTCTGACTAGCTTGAGTTATTGAGTATATGATTTTGCCATTATTAAGTGTCAGCATGGCTGACTTTGCTCCCATTCTTAATATTACTCGAATCTCCCGAGATTTTCGTTCTTTTTATCCTGTTTCCTGTTTTCCCTTGCAAATGACACAAGGAGAATGGTGATAGATAATTTAGGTCCTACCCTGGGTGTGCCTGGTCAGGGCAATTGTTAAGAGCCTAAAGAACAGTTCCCACTCCCAGGCTTCTGCAGCCCAACAACTGTTGTTTGGGATTTGCATTAGCTCCACTCAAGTATCCTATCATCTGTAAAATTCCCATTTTAACTCGTAATCATGGACAAGTAGCATAAAGTAGAATGAGTAGGGGTGGAGAGAAAAAGCGATTCCTATCTTCTATCGATAAGAACAAGCTCAAGACTTCATATTCCTTAAAATTTTATCAACTTGATCAAAAGATAAGTGGGAAATTCCACAAAATTGCATGCATTTTTCACTTTTCTTACTCGATAAAGCTGCTAGCAACTGCTTTACCTCTTCCTTACTGATTGTTAACAGCTTTAGGATATCTCTAATACAAGGGAAAAATGCTTGAGGGCGAGCACAAATTGGTTGGAACACAAGGAACAATGCTTGCATATTAGTTCCAAACTGATTGGTTTGCTTCCCTGAAAACTGAACATCACCTGCAAAAAAGCTACCAGAAATAAAATGATCTAGCCCATCTGCCACGCTTCGCCACAAGTCCAAGAAGTCTTTTGGATTGAGATTAATCTTAACAACATGAAGCTGATTCCTTAAAGTACCCAAAGCTTCAATAAAACCACTGGACACAGCCAATGCGGTAGCTGCTGAATCTCTATTTGGAGTCAAATTGTGATCTTCATCAATGTAGTCCTCATTATGGTTGTATTCCAAAGTTAGATTTTCAAACTGACGAAGTAGAACAGATATGATTTCCATAAGGCAGTTAGTCTCTAGCTCAGCCAAGAATTTTATTTCCTCTTCAAAGAAACAACCATCATCAACAACTTTGTCTTTTTTCTGGATGTTAGAATCATTTTCAGCAATCTTCATCTCTAAAAAACTTACATCATCACTCCATTCTTGCAGCTTAGACTCAACATATCTAGCAGCATTAATTGATTCACATGCTCTGACCAAGGCCCCATCATCAGGATTTTCAGGAGAAAATTCAGCATTCTTGCAATGCAGAAGCAATACATTAGAAAAGTACAAGAAGAATCTAGCCACAGTTGATCGAACAAATTTGACACGTGCCAAAATGGCAGGCAAATTTTGGCATCGATCAATCATTTCCTGTGCAATTTTAAGTGCAGACTCCGCAACCAATGGAGCTTTATGGTCCTCTCTGGAAGAGAGCAAAAAATTTTTATATACTGTACTAACATTAAAGTCAACTCTATGTTTGTCATCAATTAGCCAAGCTCTTCCATCTTTCAGCACTGCTTTTAGTTTCTTCCAGCCATCCTTGAGCTCCATCTTAGCCCAAACCTTTAGCCAATCAGGTCTATCACAAAATAGTATTAATACTGATATCCCTCTTGAAAGCCCAACATACCTTTCAGCATCTGGCAACAACAGACAAGTTTCAGACCTTACCAGTGACTGCATCTGTTTATTGAAACCAACAATAAGGTCAACTAGATGAAGCCACAATGAAATAACTTCCAATTTCATGTCTTTCTCCTTATATCTTTCAGCCAAGGCAGGAAAAACTTTTTTTCCTAAAAACCCGGAAAGCATATGGACCATTGCAGAAACCCAAGCCTCGTTGGCACTATAGCTCGACAATCTGGCTGCATCAATCATAGGCTGCAAAAGATCACTTACTCCCACTATAAAGTCCCTAGTAATTTTAAATACAAGAGCAAAAATAAACTCAGGCTGCTCAGCCCATTTCAAGAAGTGATATTCCATTCTTTCTGCGATAGGAGACACTAGTTCATCAATAGCCCAAAGCTGTAAGCCACACTCCTTTTGATCTAAAGTTTCAAACTTTCGTGCTTCTCTACGTGTCTGCAGTTGCTGCAGAGCACAAAGCCCTTGAAAACTTTGAGCATAAGACTTCTTTTCATCTCTATGCATTAGAACTAGTGGGTTTGGGAGCTTGGAAAGCCCTCCACCCTCAACTTTTGACGTCAGAAATTTTGGAGGCCAGCCTAAAGAAGCAAGAAGGGCACGATGTTCTGCAAGAGCTTCTGGTCGAAGAACAGACAAAGTTTTATCTACTCTATGATCAACTGATTGTAAAAGTTGGTGACATTGTTGATGGGATTTCTCAACATTGATAACTATATCCTCAATATCATTCATGGCTTTTATGGCTTGAAGTAATCTTTCTTGCTTTAGTCCAAAGTCCTGCATAACAAGAACCTCTGGATATAATGGTGGAGATGCATTCTGAAATAATAGGGAAAAATAGGAACAGAGTAGTTACTTTTGAAGACAGTGAAGTTGAAAGCTTTGTGAACATCTTCCCTATACTGTGAATTCCAGAACAGAAAACTGCATCTTCAAGATCTCCTACCAAAGCTTCTAAGCGAAGAGCGGTTTCTGTAATATAAAAAGGGCAAGCTAAGCTGTAGGCCTAGTGGCATAGTTAGGAAAAGGTTACACAAACCATGACCTTGTATGTAGAAGCAGAGAAAGGATTGCATGCTGAGAGTTGAAAAATATGTGCTCTCCTTCTAATAGCAGAAGAATATGTTCTTTACCAGCATCCAGTATTCTCAATTCTTAAGCAATAAATTATGAGAATTGGCATTAGCTGAGATTTCGTAGTCTAAAGCAGTATGAAGTCATTGCCATTGACAGCAGGGTTTTCCAGTTTAACTTGAAGGCAGATAGAGGTTAATACGTAATTGGTGTCCTGACAATTAGGCATTTGAAAAAACTTGCATAAAGAAACATACTCCATAACAAGGCCATAGAATTCAGGATTAAGTACTTTATGTAGATAATTAAGAAGATGAATAACTAAGCATTAAACTATCTGCAAAGGAATTATTGTGATAAGGGCTACAGAATTTGCTGACCAAGATATTGGAGGATGTTGTGAATTCGGCGCAGTTGAAGGGTGAGCTGCGGCAGTTCTTCACCGAAAATCGTCTGCATCGTATGAGAAGCAGTCCCATCTGCAGACCCGAATAAGCAAAATAATAGTAATTAAAAGAAAAGAAAGGTAACGGTGGAGAATGAAAAGCAAAATCAAGCAACATATTCTGCAGAGTGCTAACAGGGAGAGGAAGCATAGAGAGTGAGATTGAGATTGCCGAGGCAAGCTTTGGCTCGAAAAGAACGAGAGATCCATGAAAGGGCGCGTTCCATGAGAGTGGTGCGCAGGTGTAGCAGACAAGCGTCGGAATCAGTGCAGTGCTTGGTCCATTCCGACAACAGACAAGAAGAAGATGAAGAAACATCTTTTTGGGTCTTGAAATGCTGGTCCAGATACTCTGCCTGCTGCCGGCATAGCTTACCCACTTTCGGCAGAATTAGATTTTGGGGATGCCAGCCTTCCATGACTCTCTCTCTCTGCTCTCTCTCTCTCCTCGTTTCGCAACTCTCAGAAATTCGCAGTGCCTGCCAACTTTATTTCTGGATGGAATAATTGAATTTAAAAATATAAAATGGAATCCCGCAGCTTGGGGCCCAAATCTATTGGTTTTGTCATCGAGTTCAATAACTAATACTAGTGTGGTCTTCTTGTGGTTGCAGAGAATGTAATCGCACTCCAACAAGGAGGCAAATCATACATTAAGACTTTAGGCAACTTCTCTTTTGTTTGGGCTCAGACCAAAGTGCCAACATTATTATTGAGTCGATACTTGCTGATAGCATACAAATACAGTATTGTTCCTCATTCTTTTAGATGAATGCAAGGTTGAAAGTTATGAATTTTTACTAGAACTAGAACTAAAAAAGAATGCACTAACGCTACTACTGCATAGAACTATATCCTAAGGATAGACGCAAAATGTGTCGTTTTTGATACAAAGAAACAATCTTTCATATGCCAGAGCCATCTTGCTTGCCGTAAACATAGAAGCTGCATACTCCCGCGATGCCTTTCCCCTTTGCGCTAGCCTCTTGGACCTTCCCTCACCACCCTCTCTAATGTCCAACAACGAGTCCACATTGGGAGAAACATGAACCCCAACTCATCATCAACAACAATACTGCCTTGAATGCTTGGAAACCTCGATGCCATGACCGGTTTTCCGCTCATCATTGCTTCCACAAGAGTGAGGTCTAACCCTTGAGGCCTGAGTGTTGGATTCACAAAAATATCGATTGCATTGTAAAAAGCCCTGAGTTGGGATGGAGCCATAGAGCCCAAAACTAGTACGCGAGGGCCTAATTCCTTGTATCGTTGCTCCCATGGTCCAGACCCAGCAACGAGCAAATACACACCAGGGTGCTTTCTTATGAGCTTGGAGAAAGCGTCATAAAGCAAAGGATGCCCTTTATCCTTCACCAATCTTCCCGCTACACCTAGCACCAAACTACCATTTCTGGGGACACCAATCCTCGACCGGAAGTCACGGCCTAAGGATAAGTCGTTTCGAAAACCATTTTCATCAACACCATTGAGGATGACATGGACTCTTTTCCTAGGAATCTGATACACATCCCTCAACATCTCCCCGCAACTATCACTGATTGCAACATGATTGGCATAGTTGTGGAAGAACCTTATTTCGTTAAGCACTTTTGGGACAACTCCATATAAACTCACGTTAAAAGCAGGCGACATCGGTTCATTGGGCTTACGAGTTAAATCTTGGTAAATACTTGATTGTAAGCTTTCGAGGGCTATGCCATGCCATGAAACAGCAAGATTCTTAAGATTGCGAGCCAACCAATGAGGAAGAGCCACGCTTTCGGAATGAATGACGTCGAATGGTCCACGCTGGTTCTCTTCATTGAAGAGCTCCCAAGCCTTGTTGTATCGCCACTTACCAACTTCACCTTCGTGGCAGTGAATTCGTGGGGAGTTAGCAGAAGAGGTCGGGGTATCAGGGTGAGCTTTTCCATCATCAACAGGGGATGTAAATACATGAACTTGGTGACCACGGCGAGCTAGAGCGGTGTGCAAGGTGTAGGCATGGCGCTCCATGCCGCCTGGGGTGGTGCCGATAGGCATTTTCGGGAGAAAACAGCGATCTGAGTCTGATTGGCGGGGGTTGAATATGGGTGAAAGGAAGCCGGTTCCACGCAAATTCAGCCTTTCTAAGGTCACCTGACCAAGAGCTGACGTTGTTTGGGGCAAAAGTGGTGCAGAGGGAGTAGGTGCAGGTGTGGAGGAGAAACAAGAGGAACGGTGAAGACAAGTAGGAAGAAAAGAGTCGTGCACAGATTGAGATTGGAGTGGAAAGAGATGAGATGGGGCTTCTTGGGTTTGCTGTAGAAGGCCATTTCTTTCTTCTTTTCTTTTTCTTCCTATTGGGGGGATTGTGATGTGATGCAAGGTTAGAGAGAGGGGTGTTTTTGCTTCATAGATTCATAGAATGGGACAATTACTAGGCAGCAAATGCAAAGTGAGGGAGGAAAATGGGGTGGGCACGCACCTTAGCAAATGCATTGGATTTGGGGTTTACTTTTTTAAAGGTTTTAGTGCGTTTCTCACGCCTCCTCTAAACAGAAAGTAAAAAGGCAGACCATCATGCATGCATGCTTGTTTTACTGCTACTATTTTCCATGACTTTTGTTTTCATATTGATAATTTATTTTCCTAATTAATGAATTTGTAAACATATTGTTTATTTGGATTTACTCGTCTACTGTATAGTACTAACGCACTACTGAATTTGTTTTACATAGAATACCATCACCATACCATGTGCACTCACAAAAAAGCTGGCCAACAATTCTCTTTTTTGCTTCTTCTGATACGCACTCACCTGCCAGCACATTTTATTAAGTCGAAATTCAATGAGGAAGGTAAGAAACCATGAAAATTTTAAATATTATGGGCTTCGATTTATTTAATATATTTAATATAGAAGCCAACGGGGTCAAAACCAGCGTCTGAAAAAAGTCTAAAGTGAAGCGGATGTTGTGGTTCGTCGTCATTAGTTTGAAGCCGACGCTCGCATGTCAATATTGACACTGCCAAACCGCACACCCGAGGTTAGACTTAGGGATTAAAATGCTGCAAAATGGCTTAGGCTTAAAGCACCTTCACAACCTCAATTCCTGTCTATGCACAAAAGTAAAAGCTGCAAGCCAGATGCCGGCATGCAGTTCAACTCATGATCCACCACCCCTTGATTTTGAATGCCGACAAGGTATCCTTAGAATGATGCCTGAATCCTAATTAGGTCCTGTCCAACAAAGTTTAGCTTAATTTCCATCAATTTTGACTCATACCCTGTGCTGCGCCTGTGCGTGGCCCAGATGTCATTCATTACCCCACAATTTATGCTCAAATATATTCTATTATATATACTAATAATTTACACTCAAGTAGGTTCCAAACTTGGAATCATGCGGCCTTCCGATTTGGAGTAGTTGCAGTCAGCTTACCTCTACCTTGTGCTCCCCTGAATTTAGGTCCATTAGTTTTAGTGGATTTTGGTGACACAGATACAGGCCATTGACCGCAGGAGACCGCCATGTCCTTATACTGTTGCAGGGCTTCCAGAGTTTGAACAATGGCTGGCATCCTTGGCCTGTCTTTAGCGTTCAAACTAATGCATTGTAATGCCAGAAGAGCCATCTCTTTTGCTCCTTTAAAGGAATACTGCCCGCTGAGTCTTGGGTCCATTATATAGCGCAGCCTCCGACTGCTACTCAAGTAAGGCTTAGCCCAATCGACAAGGATTTGCTCGTTCTTAGACCTTGACTTCTCCACTGATCTTCTCCCTGTAAGCAATTCTAATAGTACCACTCCAAAGCTGTAAACGTCACTCTTCGTCGTCAAGTGACCTGAATATAATTTATTCATGGAATAGTGTCTGTCATCAGTTCCTGTCCACCGGCTGGAAACTGATTATACTGTGCTGGAATATTATTAAAATCGTTGAAAACATTAATTCCAAAAATGGAATTTTCTTGTCCTTTCATTCCTTGCATTTGCTCTTTATCATAACTATGTATAATATATATATAATATATACCTGTTGATACATATTCTGGGGCGGCATAACCATAGGTGCCCATAACGCGAGTTGTGACGTGCGTGTTTGAGCCCTCAGGCCCCATCTTGGCCAGTCCAAAATCCGATAATTTTGCTGAAAAATCCTGACATATTTAATACACCAAATTAATTAAGAGCAATCAAAGCAAATGGTAGTCTTGCATATATGTATATGCATAGAGCTTTGTGATTGACAAATTAGAAAGAGTAATTATATAACACACTACAAAAGTACACACAGAATCAACCAAGATATTGGAAGTTTTGAAGTCACGATATATGACAGGATTCTCAGCCCCATGCAGGAATGCAAGCCCTTTTGCGGCTCCAATGGCAATCTTCAGTCTGATGCCCCAAGGCAATGATGTTGAGATCCCTGCAAATCAAGTTTAACATTTTAAAATGAGATTCGAGACTTAATTTCAACAAAGTGGTACTTTCATTAGGGCCTGTTTATAGCCTGAGAATTACTTATATATATATATAATTGAGTTCAAACTCGTCTGATAATTAAGGCTGCTTTAGTTTAATTAGTAAAACTAACTTTTGAACAAATGATTCTCCAAACTGCCTCTGGGCATGAACTCATACACAAGAAGACGTTGTTCTTCCTCACAGCAATAGCCAAGCAATTTGACCAAGTGTGGATGCCGAAGCTGCCCCAAGAATATTACTTCTGCCTGCACAAGAATATTTCTAGCTATGTTAAGCCATCACTCAATTGCTTTAGCAATTACCAACCAAAAAAAAAGAAAAAGAAAAGGGGTATATATGTTTGCTTACAAGCCATTCACGGTGTCCTTGGAGGCCTTCAATGTCCAACAGCTTGACAGCTACAGCTTGAGCCTTCAAACCCTGCCTAAAATTGTGATCCACGTAGCCTTTATGCACAGTCCCGAACCCACCTTCTCCTAACAGATAATTGCTCGAAAAATTCTGGGTTATTGCCCGCAGCTCGCTTAGCTGGAAATCGTACAAATCAGGCCCAAAGGATTGTGCAAGATCCTCGGTGATGCGCGTGGACGATGAACGACTAAGATCAGAGTAGGACAATCGTCGAAACGATGGTAATGGAGCAATGTTCTTGGAGAAGTCAGATCTGGATGGCCTGCAACGGCTGAAATTGGCAAAAATTGTTTGGTCATCAGCTGAACAACAATTTGCAGCGAATGGTCTCCAAGGCTTGGAGGAGTCAGTCATGATTACCAAGACAAACCAAGAGGAGGAGATGAGATTGTGGGTGTTGATAATGGATTATAGGCTACTAGACATCATATATAATATAAAGAAAGAATTCATCAGTTTGTTATCTAATAGAAGGCTAGACAGGCACATTCTTTCTTCAACTGCTCAGGCACATTCTTTCTTCAACTGCTCTAACAACTCTACCAAATGGTACAGTTTCCCTTTTTCTTTGCTTGATTCGTTCTTTGATTTGTCAGCTACGTAGTGTCTCTATGCTGTGAGTTCCAAGTAGTTAATTAGCTCTTAAAATGAATGGGAACAGCAATTTGCTCTTTGGACTCACTGTATAGTGTAAAGAAAAGCATTCTGTGCAAGAGTGATGAGAGCAGCAATTGTAATATGTTTTCTTCAAAGGAGAAGCAGAGCAGTTGAGAATGATGTGTGCAATTATATTACCCCTTTGTCCTAATCCTAGCTAGCTACTCCATTTCATTTTTCAACAACCGATTACCAAAACACATGCTTTTAGTTTATACTAGTGTCTTCAGTCTTTGGCTTTTTGGCTTTCTTTAATTACCTTGGAGAGGATCACCGTTTGTCTTTTCTCCCTCTCACATTAATTTAATTTTATCTGTTTTTTCCTTTTGATTAGAGTAACTGGGATTATTTGTTTTCTATTTTTTAGGCATAAATCATACAATTACAAGAAATATAAAGTTCACTTAGGAAGCTTCAGGATCCACTAATTATCCAAAGCTATTATTATTTTAGTTAAGAAAATGAAAAGGAAACTTATGTTTTAGATAGTATTTATTAAAAGTAAATCAATGATTAGGACGGAAAAGAAAAATGCTCTTGCTAACAAGTACGTAACAGGAAAACTTTGCGCGGAAGAACCCACGCCACCAGTGGCCCTTTCGAGGGCTGGGTTCTTAGCAGCCCAGCTCCTGCAGATGGTCAAAAAGATCCCAAGTTCTGGGTCCCAGCACCCCTAGCCAGCCCACAATTAGCCGTTACCTCCTTGCGCGTAAGGTCTCTCCCTGCACCGTTGCCCTGTGTTCCTTTCTTCTTTTTTGATACACAGTTGCCCAGTGGTTGATTCCACCTGCAGGCAGGCTCCTTCTTCCTCGAATATAATGGCAGATTTTGGTTTCTTATCTGATACAGATGAGTCGGCTGTAGAAGAAGTCATCTCCCAAGCACAAGACCTGTGCGTTCTGGAGCAGCTCTCTGCTATCAACTGCTCTGCTTTCACCCACTCCGTCCTTCCGTCCGATTTGGACTCCCGATTCCGCCGACTCAAATCCTGTCCTGTGCCTATAACCCTCACAACTCATCGAAGTCCAGACAAGGATTGCCACTCTGATTCCCATGATAGCCCACAACGGAAATACTCTTTCAAACCCAAGCGGACACCCTCTTCACCTCCCTTTATTTCAGATTCCAGCCCCCAAAATGCACTCTTCTCTCCTTCAGTACCCAAAAATCACCTTTCATCAAATTCTCGCTCATTTCCTTCTCCTTTGCCTCTGGATTCTTCTCCACCCCAAAAAGCTGGGTGCTTTTGGTGTTCTCGCAAAAAGATTTCTAAGAAAAACAAGGAAAATAGGGTGCTGGGTACCGCCCTTGATTCTGATGAATTCCTGTCCAATTTGACTACTTTTTCAGTCAAAGAACAGCAAAGGATGCTCAACAACGCAATCAAGGAGCAAGACAAGATTAGCCGGGAGGCAGAAAAGATAGTTAATTGGGCAAAGCAAGCATCCGCAAGGATGACCTTTCCTGGCACTGAAGATGAGCTTAGTCACAGTGATGATGAGCCTGCAAAATGACTATACTTTTCATTTTCATTTTTCTCTGGATAAGTGTATTTTTCATTTTAATATGGGCAAAGGGGGGACTGGAATCCAAAGGTATCATGCACCAATAGATTGAGTTTATTTTTCATATTCTCTTCTTGCTACTCCAATCATACACTTGTTTAGGTATCTCTAGTTATTCTAATGATGTTAGCTCATGTTATACTCTGTCATCTTTTTCTGTTACATGCTAATTGCTATACTAAGATTTTTGTAAATTGTTATACTACTTCAATAAGCATTCTTTCGATAAGCCATGGTTTGGTGAGATGGTGATGGCTGTCAAGTATGCAAGGTGCCAAAGGTCCACATTCTACTTCATGGTGGAAACCACATTGTCTAATCATATCCTGTATGTCTTTGAAGGCTACTTAGGCATTAGATCAGCTGAGATCAATTAAATTTTCCTGAGTGGCGAACCACTTATTTTGGTCAAGCCTCCTCTTCACCTTTTTCCCCCTCCCTTTTTTTTTTTTTTTATCATCCTTTACATTTATAAATGCTTTTAAGCATAGACTATCCATAAGCAACGGCATTATATTTGAGCTTAGCATATTAATTAGGTCCTTTGGGGATGTGGCCTTAAAATTAACATGGGTTGGATGTACTATTAAGGTAAATGGTATGTGGCATATCATATCTAACCCTTGATGCTAAACCTTGTGTACTTTTTTGTAGATAAATTTTCAACTGATGAAATAATCAACGATTACCCAAACGTTGGAAAAGTGAAAACTCATGGATATGGCTTCTCCCAGCCCTCTGGTTGTCACCTGCAAGAGTCATTTCAGATAGCTATCCAACAAATGGACAAGGCTGACTTTCGCATCAAGTTTCAATCAAGTATTTGCTCTGGCAATTGCCGGTGGCGTGACCAAGCAGGAAATCTGCTGTTGCAATTTGTTACCTGTGAGATGAATAGATATAGATGCTAGATAATTCCCCAAAAAAGAGAAAGGAAGATTGGATAGGATGCTATATAGTCTTTGTTGTCTTGGTGTTCCCTAGAGAAAATGCATAGATTGCTTGAAAAGCGAAAGTAGTTTATAGCATAGATTGCTTTGAGTAGGCTGAGTTAATTAGCCTCTAAGAAGTATGTGTGACAATTATTTTATTTTGGCATGCAATAATAGCAAAGTCAGTTGTCTTTTGTAGTTAAATTTGTTGCTAATAATGGAACAACATGGCTTTCCTTTCCCCTTTCGGCTCCTTAAGCAATTTGGGCAAATAATAGAATAGTATTGCTCAGATGGAAGATATATAGGGGCGGTTACCAGAATTTGTGCCGTCCATATATGATAATTAAATACAAATTAAGATAAAACCTTCCAAAGAGATGAATTATGATTGGTTAATTATATTGCAATTATAATTGTTAGGATCAGATATGCTCCCTTCTTTTTTGTGTATAATTTTACCAGCCCCTTAAATTGTATATAACCTATCAATACTAGTAGAATTGTCGAATCTAAATCATTTTGACAAGTTAAATGAACAACAGATTAACTTCTTACGTTAACGGCTGCAGGTGTAAACAATATAACCTACACTAATTGATGATGGATTGAATACACCAAAGTCACTATTAGTGTTCCCACTGACCTTCCGCATTATTCCCTAATTCGTTTCAGCTCACTTTTTAATCTTCCTTCGCCCCATTCTCATTCTGTTATAAATATTTCTGCCACCTTATACACCTTGCTAGCTCGTATCAGTTTCATCTCTCCAAACTTGAAACCATGGCCTCAACTTTCAGAGCCTGTTCACTCTTCTCTGCTGCTGTTGTTTCAGTAATGTGCATATGCTTAACTCATCAGTTGTTGGTGTTTTCAGTTGCAAAAGCAATGCCTAGCAGCTTTAGTGTGGACCTGATACACCGTGACTCCCCAATCTCCCCGCTTTACAACCCTCTTGAAACCCGATTTGATCGCTTGTACAATGCTTACAATCGCTCTATCTCTCGCATTAATCGTTTCAGGCCAAATTCCGAAAGTAGTAATAATTATACTTCCAATGCACTCCAGTCGGATACGGTGTCAAGCGGTGGAGAATATTTCATGAAATTTTCCATCGGAACCCCACCAGTTTCGGTGCTTGGAATAGCTGATACTGGCAGCGATCTCACCTGGGTGCAGTGTAAGCCCTGTGAACAATGTTATGAGCAAAAGCCTCCTCTCTTTGATCCCAGAAAGTCCTCCACGTACAAGAACCTTCCTTGCGGGTCTAATTCCTGCAATGCATTGGATAGCTCTGAAAGAGTCTGCGATCAGCAGAACGCTTGTAAATACAGCTATTCCTATGGAGACCGCTCCTTCACCAAAGGAAACGTTGCTCTTGAAAAGTTCACCATCGGCGTCTCTACTCGCAGTAGTCCAGTACTTTCCTTTCGAAACCTTGTGTTCGGCTGTGGACACAACAACGGTGGCACATTCGATGATGTAGGTTCTGGTATCGTTGGCCTTGGTGGAGGTCCCGTTTCTCTAGTCAAACAATTGGATAAATCAATCCGTGGGAAGTTTTCCTACTGTCTGGCTCCCACTGCATATGCAGAGGAGCCGTGTGCGTCAAGCAGAATAATATTTGGTTCTGCAACGGAATCGGATGCTGCTGCTGTTTCAACTCCCTTAGTTGACAAAAACCCCTCAACGTATTACTTCGTAACGTTAGAGGCTATCAGTGTTGGAGACAAAAGGTTGGCCTATGGTGGATCATCTGCATCACCAACAGAGAAATTAGGCAACATCATCGTCGACTCTGGGACAACATTGACATTCCTGGAGTCAGAGTTCTATAACAGTCTTGAATCCGCCTTGGAGGAAGCAATTGAGGCCAAACGAGTGAGTGACCCCAAGGGCCTTCTCAGCCCTTGTTTTAAGGGCGCTAAGGACATAGATCTTCCCGTAATAACGTTTCATTTTAGTGGTGCGGACGTGAAGTTGCAGCCATGGAATACGTTCGCCCAAGTGCAGGAAGACATGGTGTGCTTCACCATCGTACCATCCAATGACATAGCCATTTTTGGGAACCTGTCTCAGATGGATTTCTTGGTCAGCTACGACCTTGAAGAGAGAACCGTCTCCTTCACGCCAACTGACTGCACAAGCCTTTCATGTGATAAGTTATTAAATTGGCAGTTGCAATTGGTTATAGATTTATATGTGATGTGATAATAATATGAATATACAATCCATATATCAGAATTCCCTTGTTCAATCCCATACGTGAAGGTTGAGAAAGTGGTCGATTGACATTTTTTCCTAAATATTCTTAAATTTTTCACATGCTTATGATCAGAGAGTTTGGACACATAATTTGAAGCCAAGAGAAAAGAAATAAAGAAAAGTAGGAGATAGTGTAAAATGGACTGATACATTAAAAATGAGAAAAAGGGTATATCTAGGACAAGTGGAGCAGTGGTGCTTGATACTAGTACAATGTAGTCTAAAAAACAGAACCGTGTTAGGCCATTGGATTAGATTTTTACCTAAACTACCCAACCGTCTCAAGTGAAGTAACTAGTGACTACTAAACTGCCTGTACGAAGTGGCAAGTGAAAGTGGAACAAAAATCGCCCACTTTAAAAGAAAAAATAAATACCCCGACACTTTCCTCCCAAACGGCCTAACTTTTTCTTAATCTCTCTGTCTTTGTCCTTTTTTCCCTTTGATTCTCTCTCTTTCTGTTACCCGAAAGCCAAGCTCTCTTTCTGAAGATCTACTGTCTCTATTTTCTGTGCTGTTGGGCGTCGATTCTCGGCATTCATTTATTCTTCATCAGGCATCACTGCATCAGCACCACTGTTGCTCAACCATTTGTTACTGTTAGACATGGAACTATCAAGAAGCAAGCTACCAAGCTCAGAGAGCAAGTTGCCAAGCAACAGCAAGTGGGTTCTTCTCCCTTTTTATCATATCCTATCCAATTCTCTCTGCTTCTGCTTTTGCTTTCCTGTTTGGTATTTTCTTTCGATTTTACCTCTCTACTCTTTATACCCACCCTTTTTTATTGCATTTCTGTTGAACTTCCAATTGTTTGCGATTGTTTCTTATTTCTTGAATCCAATTTGTGAAAATGCAGAAATGTTTCAGGTTTAGACTTTTTACTGATAAAAACAAACACACTACCACTATGCTTTTCCAATTTTCATGTCTTAGCCATTGCTATTTGCGACCTCCTATCAGGAATTCATAGATTTCTGATATTACTGTTTTCCTTTTCTTCTCTTCTAAACCCAGTAAAAGCATACAACTTATACCGCCCTGATGACGACACTGTCCATAGTATACACATCCAAGGGACTCCACCCAATCTTTCTTTTTCTTTTTCTTTTTTTATTTTGAGCAAATATAACAAACATGAGAACCTTAGAGTTTATTTATCTTTAATCGTGAATTTTATGACATCTATCTATTTATATACCTTGTATCAATTCAAGTTGACTTAACGAACTTTTGGATGTCGAAGGTATTTTTCACATAATATACAGTGTTAGAAATGTAAAATTTTATCTACCATTCTTTTGTTACCTGCTTATCATTACTGATAGCACATGATTTTTTATATAAATTTATTATATAACTGCCTAGTGGTTTCATCCATTTTGGACTAAGGTATTTTTCCCCATTTACTGTTCAAATCTTCTCTTTTTGTAGGCAGTACTTCGGCATCTTGGCCATTTTAGTAATGAAGACATAACAGTCGATGAAGCTGAGCTTCAATGTCATCAAAAGCTGCAAGATTTATACATTTCTACAAAGGCAGCTAAGGTGCATTCTCTAGTCCTTTTTCAAGCACTCATAGGGCCAACAAGATGGTTTAATTTTTAACTTCTGAATAATTTATGGGATGCTTACACTTCTATTTTTTGCTTGCAGCATTTGCAGCGGAATATTGTCCGTGGCATAGAAGGTTTTATTGCAACAAGCTCAAAGCTGCTAGAAATAGGCAAGTATGGTTGGATCTTTTACTGCATTTGGACTCCTGTATGAGGCTGATTTATGGTGTTTCACATTGAATATTTTAGCTAGGAAGTTGGCTGATGATTGTTGCAAATACGGAGCTGAGAGTCACCACTGATTCTTCTCTTGCAAGAGCTGCCCTTCAGTTTGGTAAGTCACATAAATTGATGGAAGATGAAAGGGAGACCTTGCTTGGGATCCTTGGTGAACAGGTAATTTCTTTCATATTTATGGATACTCAGGACTTCTTTATAGGTTATTTGCACCTGAAATGCTCTCCCTTAGGCAATTTGTCCATTATTGTAATGAAAATGTTTGTTTGGTTCCAATGTGCCCTGATCATCTGGGTTGCATACCTGTGCTTTTACATTTCCTACACCAAATCAATGAGTTGCTATATTATGGACTGTGGTTTGATGGACTTAACATACAATGTGACCTGTTTTTCTTCCCCACTAACTTGAGATAAATACAAATGGAAAGAACATTGGTATCGTCATGAAAATACAGTTGGAAATTTAGATAATTTCTGCTATTTCTTAGCTTGGGATTTTTCTTTTTCTTTTTCCTTCTGTTTCTAATTGTGTTACAGGTTTCAAATATGTAGGTTTCTGAGCCATTACGGGCATTAATTACAGGTGCTCCTGGGAGATGCTCGGCACTTGACCCACCGTTATGACAGACTCCGCCAAGAGGTTGAAGCTCAGGTTTTTCAATATTTTAAAATTTGGAGTAGACCAATTTGGACTGTTAAAGTTCTATACTGTTGGAATTCTGGTTGGTCAGATCATTGACCAGAAAAGGTCAAATATCAGAAATTTGGCATGGTCTTCTTCGCCTGCAGTCTAACTGTAATCTCTTGACCTTCTTATAATTGCATGGCCCAGCTAGTTCATTAATAGTAGTTTAATTTAGTTAACTAAAACAAATTGATGTGCTCACTGACAGGATAATCAAATTGTTTTTTCCCTTTTTTTGTGTGTGGTGTCAACCAAAACTGTGCTTGTACCTCCTGTCTATCTCAAGCCAAAAAAATACAATAACAAGAGACACATAAAGCAGGAGGTTTTTAAACACATAAATGTGGAAAGAATCAAATACTTTATTGACTCTTAAGTGTATAACCTTCTCAAAATTTCATCATAACTTATTATATCTTTCCATTTTATAGTAGTTTCTTTTATATATATATATATATATATATATTCATTCTCAGCCAATTTTTTCACAAACAGGCAGCAGATGTATTAAGGCGGACATCAAAGACCAGGGAATCTGATATATCTGCAGAAAGCTACATGAAGCTTAAACAAGCAGAAGCAAGATTGACTGAACTTAAAGCCTCAATGATGGTACTAGGAAGAGAAGCAACTGCTGCCATGTTATCGGTTGAGGATCAGCAGCAAAAGATTACTTTTCAGCAGCTTCTTGCTATGGTATTGCTACTTTTATTTTAATCTTTTTTTGCAATGCCTGTAATAAGCTGCTTTTCCTTTGTTCGCAAACGATACGACTTTTCTGGTTATCATTAGTACCATGTTTACAGCAAACATAAGATTGATAACTTCAACTGAATGAAGTTTTGCAACTGTTATCTATGCAAAAAAATCCTCATCCTTTGAGGATTCCATTTGAATGTACGTTGCTAGTCCTAAGTCTAGGTTAGCAATTATGTAGCTGCTTTCTTTGACTCATACTTCAAACCAAAACAATTCTAGTCAGAGGAAGATGAGACTATAGTGGGTCCAGGTGAAAAACTCATATTAAGACTTCAATGACTGAGATTCCTAATAGGAAACTAACTTTTAAGCAAGTAATAAGCAACTTGGACTAAGAGGAAATCGACCTAACTCCTACAAACCCCTACAGTAATCTTAACTTTATGAAGGGACATACTTACCTAAGGTGCAGGAAAGGCAAAATGTAACTTTTCTGCACCTGTAACTTGGTGACATTGCTGAAGGTTTTAAGAGTCTTTTTCTTTTGGCTTTGCTTCCATTGACTGAAAAAAAAAAAAAAAAAAAAAAACACATATGGAAGTAGCAAAGTTTCTTCTTTCATGGCTGCATCGTGGGGGCATTGCTAGTGTCAATCTGATGTTTAAGACTTATTTTTGAGATAACTGATGTACTCAATTTATTTGTTTTTGAGATATCTTACATATTCAATTTGTTCTTGAGTAGGGTCACATTTCAATGTTCATTACCCCCACTTGTAATGCTCAGGTCCCTGGACCTCACCAGAATCATTTTGCAGGTTGATGCTGAAAAATCTTATCATCGACGTATTCTTGCTATTTTGGAAAAGCTATATGCTGAGGTTTGTACTTATTCACCCTTGGCTCTGAAATTCTTCTCATATGACATCTATAGGTATCCCCATCAGTACATGGAATTTGATGGGTGCCAAAGTGCCATTATTTTTCACTTATTTCTTGCATATATCCGAAAGGTTATGATCAAAGTTTACTGCTGGATAGATGATTCTGGAGGAGCAGTCGAATGAGTCATTGAACTCAGTGACTTTGCAGAGAGAGGTGAATGTTGCCCTTGCAGATGATCACACTTGTTCAAATGGATCTAAGGCTCAGATAACCAATCAAAGCGATGTATATTTCATAGCAAAGGTTAGGCTTTTGCACTCTTCAAGAAATGAAATTCTCTCCAACGTACTCCACTTTTGAGAAAATGAAATGAAAAAGAACGGAAAAAAAAAAGTTGTAAACAAAAAAGATCGCTTCAAAGTTGCTTTATGCGGGTTAGGTGGTCTTTCACCATTAAGAGTTTTATTTATAGATATTATGGTGATGATTACCTCAGTGCGTAATTAAATTTGAAAATCTACATCTTCTCTGAATAAAGTAAATATGGAAACATGAGTTTACTCCTTTTATATTCTATGACTATTAGTAATCATATCATGAATTTAAAACAAACTGAAACTTTGAGAAACTTTTGAAACAAACTAAAACTGCCTGGAGATAATATTGATCTGTTGTGTAATGAAGAAATAACTTGAATTTAAGACTGAAGTTAGCCATTTTGGTTTCTGAGAGATCTGATTCCCAGTCCCACAGTACCCTGGCAAATATCCAATTACATGAAACTTTTCCTCTGGTGTAAAACAGCCAGTTAGAACTGCTGATCAGCAGCTATGGAAACCTGTACATTTGAGGATACTTGAACTTCCTCTTCCTACATTGGAACTTTAGTTTGCCACCTAGACCAATGTTTTCAGAAGATTTCCACTTTTCTACTCCCCTCTTATTTGACTCTCTTATTTCCCCTCTTACTTGTGCCTGTTAGATGAAGAACATGTTTATTTATTGCGTGAAAATATACGGGAGGCTGATTGAAGGTCTTCCTATGTTTGTACTTCATATGAGTCATAATCTGTCTGTGAGGCTATGGTCTCATTCATCAGCATTGAGACTTCTTACATAATTTTTCAATGGGTGTAATCATTTTTGAGATCATACAACTGAAATTTTTCAAGGTAAAATTTTTCTGAAGAAATCTCCAGGTGCTAAATTTGTTAGTGGGATGTTAAGCATTACGGAGTTTTACATACTGTTTATAAAACCGACAAATGTATTCCTGACCAGCTTACATTGTTGGCATTTTTTACAAAATTGACTTGGTTTTGGGAGTTTTAAAATTTACAATTCTGGACATGATTGTGGTGTTGTTTGTTTTAACAGGTTGTGCACCCATTTGATGCTCAAGCCGATGGGGAGTTAAGCTTAGCAGTTGGTGATTATGTTGTGGTTCGCCAGGTACTGTTTCAACTGCTAGGTTAAATCTCTCTTTGTTTGTTTTACTGAATGAATTATATTATTTATCAGACATGGTTTTGCATTACATCATTTTGTGCTTATGTTAGTCTGTCTTTTACCCTGTTCTCCTGCATGCTTGTAACTTTGTCTTTTGGAATAATTCCTCTTTATCATTTTTGTTGCAATATCGCCAGGTGGGTCCTACTGGATGGTCTGAAGGAGAATGCAAGGGCAAGGCTGGGTGGTTTCCCTCTGCTTATGTAGAAAGACAAGAGAAAGCACCAGCAAGCAAGATAAGTGAAGCAAACTCGGCAGCCTGATCGTTGAAGCCATGGTGACTAGTGTTAAAAGTTGTACATGCCCCAACTCCTTTGTTATGGTCAACAGTGCCCTTGTAAGTAATTACCAATTACTGGGTGGGTACGAAAATGGCATATGTATGCGAGCGATGTATATTCTTTTTGTGTGCTATGTGAGTTGTGCGGTAAATAATCACACTTATGATTCAGTTTTGTCAAGACCACCCCTTTATAATGAATTGAGGTGGGGAAGGTGAATTTATTGCAAATAACCGGAGTGTAAGGATCATGTTGGAGGTCAAATCCTTGGCTGTTTTTCCTTGAGAATGTTTGCAGCTCCTGACTAGCTCATGCAGTATTATTATTCAACTTTTCAGAATTCTAAGCGGGACAAATACTCCGTCTTCCTCCTATTCTGTCACAAACGCTGAATCCCCAAAGTCAATGGTCTAAAATTGAAAGTTACTTCAGAAAAACTACTGGTAGTAAACAAGAGCACGGCTAATAACTGGTGGAAGAAAACTTGAATACTTGTGCCAGTAGCTGTAGTAAATAGTTACTTCTACTGGGCATAGAGGGTATTCCGAGATGTAAAAGATGATGATCGGCCTCTATCCGCTGTCCTAGGTACGCTTGCTGATAATGGCATTAGCAGCATCTGTTTGCTGTTCTTGCCACTGCTTTGATGTCCACCTCTCTAACTCTAACCCTAACTCTAACTTCAATCCAAACATATACAAAAAAAGCTCCAACTTTCCTCCTCTGAGTCACGTCAAACCCTCGTGCCAGCTTCCCCTCACTCCCGATAAAAAGTCCTTGCTTTTAGGCTTTTCTGCATCAACCCTTGTGTTTGTGGGCCTGGGTCTTTGCATCTGCGCCTCCGCTTCGGAACTTAGGCCGTTGCCGCTGCCGCTGCCGCTACCCCACCACTCGCTTCAACTTCACCTTGAAAAAGGTACCTTCTTCTTCTCTCCCCCAACTCAATGTCAGTTTTCTCTTTTTGATTAATTAATGGGCCTTTTTCCGTGTCTTTCTGTACCATACATTCACCTTCATCTGCAACAGATGAACGAGTGGACAACAAATCAGCAGAAGAAGATGAGAAATTGGAAGCAGCTTTTGAGACTTGGAAGTCTAAATCTTTCGCTCTTTCCGTTCCTCTCTCCATCGTTGCTCTTCAGGGCTCCATACCTCCCTCCTGGCCCAAGGATTTCATATCCTCTCAATCCAGGCGCTTGAAGTTACAAACCAAATTCCGTCCTAGTCTTGAAGATATATTCTCTCATCTATGCGTGCCCTTTACCAAAGCCAAAGGGAATATTGGACCTGCATCTGCTGTGGCTGCTGATATTGTCACCCTCGGTGACTCCTGGCTCCCTCATGCTATTAGAAAGGCTATTATTGAACCCATTACAGCTGCTGAACACCAGGATTGGTTTAAGGAATTAGGCCACCAATGGAAGGTAAAATAACTTCACTATTTGCTCTATCCAATGCAAAAAGTTAGAACGAACCCAACTCACATTCCATCTAGAAATGTTCCAGGTCTATCTACGCAGGAACCATAATGGGGATATTGATCCTCAAGGTCAGATATGGGCTGCACCTTATCGTTGGGGTACCATGGTCATAGCATACAAGAACACCAAATTTCAAAAGCATAAATTGCCTCCTATACAGGTAATATTATTCTATCTGTAAAATTAAAACAATGACTTTAGCTCCTATATGATTCTTATTCTCGTGTTAGAGATGGCAATTTTATTGGCAGGCCGGTATGTGCTTTCTTGTGATGCATGCCTGCCACTTTTAAAGGGCCTATTCTTCTAGAATCGTCCTCATCTTCCCTCTCTTGTTTCCCTCCAATTGGAAACTCAAGAAACTGAAGAATCCTCATTTCTTTTCAAATCTGCCCTTCTGCTATTCTAGCATAAAGGTTAATCAAGTTTTCGTTTGGTTTTGTGGAGAAACATTGGGCAATTTACTGACCATTGAAACCTTCATCGCCTGTCTATTTCCTTCTGCTTCATTGATTTGTGCAGCGATTCTCATAATGACATTAGATAGATCTTCTTTGAAGTTATTTTCCCATAATGACATTAAATTGATATTCTTTGAAGTTTTGTCCCAAGAATGAATTGCAGAGTTTATGCCCATCTAGAGATTCAGTGCATAAACAAATCAGCTAAATTCCGTTCGAGGTTGTTGCCTAGAATGACTGCATAAAAATAGCCTTTGTCTACTCTCTGGAATGCCAATTTTTTCCTTCTCTATTCTGAATGTATTCTTCTGCTTGCACTGCTAGAAGATGGGCTTGACAATCATCAGAAATGGCCCTCTCTTTCCTTACACCAATCCTTCCTTTACATGTTTTCTGGGTTAGCCTCAACTCTTAAAAAAATCATCAAACATGACCTGATGTTTCCATCGTATATCAGTATTTTGTTTACATATATTTACCTATTAACATTGATCATTTAGGAAAAACCCTATTGCAGGATTGGGCAGATCTATGGCGGCCTGAACTTGCAGGAAGAATTTCAATGGTGAATTCCCCTAGAGAGGTTATTGGTGCAGTTTTGAAGTACATGGGGGCATCATACAACACAACAGACTTTGACTTGCAAGTTGCTGGTGGCAGGAATGCTGTCCAGCATAATCTGGCCTTGCTTGCAAGACAGGTAATGAAATGGAAATGATGTTATGTCTTCTTCATGTCTCCCCTTCTTTGGAGTCATTTCATCTTATTATTGCCGTGGTAAGTTCCTTTGGAGGTGGCTCTTAAAAGAAATCACTAGTATTGGTTACCTGAACTATTGTGTTCTTATTCTAAGATACCATTATACCAAGAGAAAAGGTTTCGTCTGATGATCTGAATCCAAATTCCAGCTCCCTCCGAGTTTTCTTGCAACATGTGAAGCACATTGTTGCATGAATTTCTAAATCCCATGTGACTCCATGCACAAATGATTGACTTGTGCTGAATACATACATTCTACAAACCAGAATCTGTTCGGTCCATCGAATGCTGGATAATTTTGCATATTCGTCAGTAGCTTGACTTTATTTTAGCTACAATACTTTTTGAGGATTGATTATTTAAATGCAGGTGAAGTTAATCTGTGGAAAGGACTGGACTTGTCTTGTTGCACATAAATGTGGTGTAAGATAGTATAGGAACTAGTTTTAAGAACACCATGTCCAGTGCAACGGCTCTCTACATTTTTCAATTTTTGTTCAATCCTAATGATGAGAGCTTCAGCATATCCTGGAAAGCAAAAGGCACTACAATCCTCCCCCCCTCTACCCTTCACCCTCTTAGAAATATGAATTTCAAAGTTAAGCTGAATAACCAGAACTCCTTTTTCCTTTTCTTGTTGCTTGGCTTTAGTTGCTTCACATTATACTCTATAGCAATATGTGTTTTTGCCTTTTGTAGGTTCAATTATTTGACAGTGAGAACTATCTCAGAGCATTTTCAGTGGGAGATGTGTGGGTTGCTGTAGGGTGGAGTAGTGATGTTCTTCCAGTTGTAAAGCGAATGTCAAACGTTGCAGTTATTGTTCCCAAGTCTGGAGCTAGCTTATGGGCTGATCTATGGGTATACCTTCCGAACCATTTCATTTTCCTGTTTTTTGCTGGAAACACGACACTTTACACCCAGGTTAAATTTGTTATCTCTGAGTGGTATCTATGTGTTATATATAAAGAGCTTTGATTTCTGTCAAGCAACAAAATGGAACTAAAACAAGAGAGTGGATAATGATTTTATGAGAGAGAGAGAGGGAGGGAGAGAGGGAAAAGAAAGAACTGAATAGTTAATTGTGATGAAACATTCGCCAACGAAGAACTGAATAGCAATAAATTAGAAAGTAATCGCCAGCAGGTCATCTTTTGGATATTGAGGTTTGTTTCCTTGCAGGTGATCCCTGCTGCTTCCAGACTTGAAACTGATCGTATTGGGGGCCGAGTCAGAGGTCCATCTCCACTAATCCATCAATGGGCGGAGTTCTGTTTACAGACTGCAAGAGCCCTTCCTTTGAGGCAAGGGGTAATTGCGGGTGCATCTCCCTCTGCCCTGGAGAGCGTACCTGTCAAATTGCCTGAAGAGATCACGAAGGGTAAACCAAAGCTAGACACAAACCTAGTTGCTGGAGTGCCACCACCTGAAATATTGGAAAGATGTGAGTTCTTGGAGCCATTATCGGATGCAACATTGCGGGATTACCAAAGGCTCATTGATAACATGCCCAAATCTGGCCCTGATTTCATGCACATGAAGGGGCACATGTCATCAATTATTGGAACTTTGGGGCTGAAATTGAGTTAAATTAAGGTATTGTAGTTCGAAGGAGTGCCAATTTGAGCATTAATTAATTTGTAAATCAATCGAGTATTATAGTATAGATGCTCAGATGAGAGGGGCTGTCCAAGTTGAGCGGATTGAGCTGAAGCTT